TCAGGATATCAGCAACATTTTACTAGTCAGCCACATTTTGATATCTTTCACAGAAAATGAGATATATAGGTTCAAAGTGGACGATCCGGGTGTCGTTCTATTAGAGGTTTTACGGTATTCAAAATTATAAAAAACCCATGAAAACTCTATGAAACAGATGAAAAATTTCTTCACATAAAGTCGACAAAATTTTTAAAAATAGGGATTTTGAAATTTTAAAAATGTTTGGACCAGGAAAGTTTTTTGGGGATAATTTGAACAATTTTCGAGAGAATATAAAAAATAAACTGTTGAATTTTCTGATAATATCCAAAAAACTGTAAACAACAGATGAAAAAAATTTACTATTTCAATATTGTGATTTTAGGGATTTTAGAAATTGCTGTTTGATTGTAATCAGATGTAGAGTAGAAAAAAAAAGTTCCTGTTATTAAAAGACCTCTGACGATTTGAACCTTTGGTTGAGGTACGCGGGGGAAGCTAATGGTAGCCAAAAAAGGTGCAAATACCGTTACCTTAAAATTTTCTCTGGAAATCGCCAGATCGTATCTATACCGAAGCAATCATTTTTTTACTTTCGAAGTTTTATGGAAGTTTTGAAACTGTGAATTATATAGTTTGGAGAACACATTAAACTTCCAAAAAAACTGTAAAAGTTACGGAAAATTTAATACCGTAAACAGTAACATAAAAACCTTCCTAGTTTCTAATAATGCATTAATTTATCTCGGCTCCCATGGAAAATTTCAAAATCTTTCCCAACTAATAAAATTATCATACAATGATAAATATTTTATCAGTTTACAACCTTTTGATATCTTTTACATTAAATGAGGTATATGAGTTTAAAGTTGAAGGTTGAGAGGGACATTCTATCAGCCTAATAATATCAAAAAATAAAACAAATCAAATGAAATCTGAGTGAAACCGGAAAACTTCTTGACATGAAGTTGGCAAAAATTTTAAAAATTGGCTGGTGCTTGAAAAAATAAAGACTTTGCAGTTTCGATTTTGCAGTGCTTTTAGAAAATTTCAAAACCTTTGGATCAGATGAGATTTCGGGGAAAATTATATTAATTTTGAAGAAAAATATACAATTATAAATATTTCAAGTGTATAATAATATTCAAAAAATATATGAATCGAATGAAAACTAGGTGAAATGGTAAAAAAAATTAGCAGGAAATTGAAAATTCGGAAAACCGGAATTTGCAGTTTCAATTTTCTGTTTTACCGTAAAACCTCTAATAGAACGACACCCGGATCGTCCACTTTGAGCCTATATATCTCATTTTCTGTGAAAGATATCAAAATGTGGCTGACTAGTAAAATGTTGCTGATATCCTGATAAACATTTTACTAGTTAACCACTTTTTGATATCTTCCAAAAGAAGTGAGATATATAGGCTCAAAGTGGACGATCCGGGTGTCGTTCTATTAGAGGTTTTACGGTACGTCTACCTTTTTGAAGAAATTATTGCATACGCCGTTCAGGTTCGTTTGCATTTTGCATTAAAAAATTTTCTGTTATCAAAATTCATTCGAGGCATTGAACTTGTGGGTTAAATATTGGAAGTGACGAGCGCGCAGCAGCCTGAAGGTTACGGTATCCACAAAAGGGTGCAAACACTTTTCGAATTTGTAGACACTGTTCCTCGTCCAAATTCAAGCGAGTGAAAACTTTATTTTCCAACATTAAAAAAAGATTATGAAATGATATATTTTTGTTTAGTTCGCCGAACACACGAAATTCGAAAACTGGTCGAAAAAATTTTCAAATGTCACAATTTCCTAAGAAAACAGGACCAGTGGCTTCTTGGTTAGAGTACTTCTATGATAGATAAGGTTCGGCGGCCCAGAAACTATCTTTTGATTCGAATGAGTGATAAATATTGTTTTGTTAAAATTTCATGAAAGTTTTGAAACTGTAAAAGTTCGCCGAACACAGTACAAATTGAAATTCTAAAATTACAGTTTCACAAAAGTCACAAATATCACAATTTTCAATAGTGTCGTTTTTTTCCGGTCTCAAAACAAGCGATATCAGTTCTTCATGGTTCCCAACGAAGTGGCGAGGTCAGACAGTGTACTTGTGAAGAGATGAAAGACTGTTATCATCAATCGAAACTGCAAGCATTGGATTGTTTCGAGACGTGCTGGAAGTCTGAAATTAAGAGAGTGAGTTCTCATTAGGGCGAAATTGCTGCTTTTCTATGAGAGACATAAAAAATGGTTAACTAACAAAAAGCTTACTGATAATGTGATAAGCATTTCATCAGTTAATCACTTTTTGACATCTCTCACAAAAAATGAGATATTTGGGCTTAACGTTAACGGTTTGGGGCACTAGCTCCTGAGAAGTAAGAAGTTTTGGAGCTCAATTAACTCAGTTCCGATAAGAGATATCAAAAATCTGTCAACTGATAAAATTTTTTTCTTATTATCAAAAATACTTTTGTAGTTTGCATTTTTTCATATATCTTACAGTAACCGTTATAATTGAGCCTATCAATAGAGCGCACTTTGAACAACTTTTTTCAGTTCAAACTAACCGACAATCCGGACGACCTGAAAGCCTGTTTTGACGCCAAAAAACCATTCGTGGACCAGGTTATCAATTGTTTCCAAACGAAAGTCAAAGCGTGAGTCATATTTTTTCGGAATAAAATTTATATTTTTTCGGAATAAAATTTTCAGATAAATATGTTTTCAGATGCACCGAGAACGGGGAACCAGGCGTTCGTGTTAAAGAATATGACTATAAGGATATGATCAAGAGAGTGGAGGATGCCGTTAATTCGCAGATTAATGCGTTTTTGAGGTCTATTGGAAATGATAATGTTAAGGTTGGTGGAAGTAGGGGAAAAAATGGGTCAAAACTGGGCCAAAAAAGAACCAAAAACAAGCCAAAAATGGACCGAAAACCGGATCAAAAATAGGCTTCAGGAACCCGTCAGAAAAGACCAAAAACAGGCGACAAATGGGTCGAAAATGGGTGGGCCCAAAACAGACAAAGAACGGACCGAAAATGGGATATCCTCTAACTTCCTTCAAAATTAATATTTTTTGACCAAATAAAATGAATACTGTAGGACAATTCAAGAGCTACAAAATAATAATTAACTTCTAAACTGTACCTGACTTATGAAAAAAAAAGTTACAGGACAAATAGATTTTAGAGCTGACCCGTAACTTGACAAGTTTTTTGATGGTGGAATTGAATAGTGCTTTAAAAGTTATATCAAAATAAATGTATCAGAAAATATTGAAACTGGCAGGGTCCATTGCGAAATCATTCCAACCAAAAATAGATTAAAGTTTAAAGTTTTCTGTTTCAAGTGCAACAGAAATGTTTTAGAGGTTTTTCTTCTACTTGATGCAACGGTTTTCTCGATTGGTTATCTTCAAATTTTTTGAAGGACCCAAAAATTCGAACTGCAAGCATTTTGTTCAGCGGAGCGCGGTTGCACGATGTCAAAAACTGTCTTTTTGGAAAATTTTGAAAATCTAGTTTCCAGTAAAAAAAATGATAAACTTTAAAAAAGACACGCTCCATTGAAAACTTCCAAAATCACAAAAATATTTCAGGCAGTAGTAACAGCTGGCACAGCGATAGCTCAATGCGTGAAGACGTGTTTCCTGGAGAAGAACAAAGATGGATTCTGTTTCAATCGAATCGGATGTGAACCTCAGATTGAGGATCGCAACGCACGGATAGCAATTCGTCAGTGTTCGAGATCAGTGGCGTGGAAAAAGGAAATGGAGACGTTCTGTCATTGCTCAAGTGCTGCTGGCATTAAGTGAGTCTTACTGTAGCTTTTAAAGCAAAAATACCTTAAACACTCTAATAGAACTCTCCAACAAAATTTTGTGCTATTTCATCTAGTTTTTTTTATGAAAAAAAGAGCCAAAAATGACAAAGTGTACCAGATGGCTCAGTGGGATTTGACAGCAAAATTTACGGTCCACGAGACCAAAGTTCGATTCCTCCCGGGATTCAACATTTTTTATCATTGTTTAGACCTCAAAAATAATAGTTCTAGACACACGTGAGGTGTAGGAAAATAAAACTTTGAGAATTGAGGTCTGAACATGTGCTCCCTTACTTTGAGTTCAATTATCTCAATTTCTAAAAGAGATATTAACAAGTGGTCAACTAATAAAATGTTTATCATAATATTAGTAATATTTTATAAGTTAACGAAATTTTGATATCTCTTATGGAAACTGAGATAATTGAGCTTAACGTGGTCTATCAGCTGATCTGCACAGGCGCCGACCGAGTTGGCGCTACTAACTTTAAGCCAATTTATCTCAATTTCTAGAGGAGATATCAAAAAGTGGTCCACTAACATAATTTTCATCATAATATCAGTAAAAGTTTATCAGTGGACAAATTTTTGATATTTCTTTTAGAAACTGAGATAATTCAGCTACACGCTTTCAATTTTTTATTTTTTCAGTGGTCTCTCCAGCTACTGTGGAATGCTCAACATTATTGGATAAAGCGGGGATAAAACTTTTTTCAAACATCAATTTTCTTATATTTCAATTTTTCATGCAGAAGTAATAAATTTTTCTTGTCTAAAGCAATTTGTCTGTTGTTTGAAACCGCAAAACATCACAATTTGGTTTGTGTTCGAATCGAAAAACAACAAGAAGACGTCATTTCAGTGATCATTTGTTTTTTGGGGACAAATAAAGGATACACAAACTGTGTGTGTGTATGGTGATCATGACATTGGTGAGGGGTTAGAAGATCACTTGGGTAAACAGCTAAACCCCGCCCACAAACAATTGGGCGGCACGCTTTTCCATATATTTATAACTTTCAGAAAATTGTTGCAATGAGGGAAAACACTTAAAACATGTCGAAAGCTCACAATGCGAATATTTCAAAGGCGGAGTTTTACAGGTTTTCCGGTTCTATAGCTCTCAAAAGTTTCCTAGAGAAATCCAATTTGGAAATTTCGTTCAATATTAAGATGGAAATGAAACAGTGATAATTTTGTAATCCTAAAATTGTTGTTCCTCGACAAAAGACCAGATGTACCACCCTCAAGTTTACTGGAAATACCAAAAATTGGCATTTTAGGTTTTAAATTGTGTCGGATAAAAAATAATTTTTTCTGGATATAATTTAATGACCTTTTTTGTTACTATTGTCCGCGAAATTAATTTCATTCGGGAAAAAAACACCATCTCAATCATCCAGGACCATTTTTCCAGATGTACCAATCATAAATTTATTGCGAATCCCCTAAAATAGAAATTTGAGGTCTTAAACTTTATCGGAACAATAAATTATCTTTCCTGGACGAAATTTAATGTGATTGATTGCTAATATCATCAAGCGATTTATTTTATTTCAGAAAAACATGACAGAAATTATCCAGGACTATTTTTCCAGATTTACCAATCCTGACTTCATTGAAAATACCAAAAATTGACATTTTGAAACCTAAGATTTTAGGGACGAGAAGTTATTATTCCTGGACAACATTTTATGACATTTTATTTTATTTTTGCTAATATTATTAAGCAAAATATTTTGATTTAGAAAAACACGACATCAATCTCCCAGGACCTATTTTTCCAGTTGTATAAATCCATTTGATATACCATAAATCGCCACTTTAGACTTCTAAACGCTATTTTTTTTAATAGAATTCAAATCACTTCATTACTAATTTTTTTTTGTTCTCCAAAGCAATCCTATTTTCCATGTGGTTTTCAGAAAATTCGAAATTAAAATTATAGAAACAAGTGTTATTTTCTGTTTCGAAATGTTACATTTTTAATTGTTAACGTTGAAAGCTACTGTCTATTCAATAAAACGTGAGATGCCGTCAAATCTGTATTGAGATTGCATGCAAGTCTATTGCTCAAGCCACCTCACGGGGTGCAACTCTGTGGGAGGGGCAATTCATATTGAGGCTGCAATTCTATGTTTCAAACTACGAAAATTTGGAAAAAAAAAGCTGTATTATGAAAATCAACTATAAAGTTACAAATTGAACA